CAAAGCATACTGTTCCCTCAAGGAGGTGGTTTTAAATTAACTTTTACTTGGCATGCGCTACATGCACTCAGGCAGAGACTCTGGGCCCAGCCCGGGAGCTTCAAGGAAGGCCCTCGGATGGATATGATTCTTAGACTGAATTTTGAAGGACAAACTGAAGTTGGACTGATGATGAGGAGAGGAAATTCCTGGCAGGAGTAGTGTGGGCCAGGTGTGGAGGTGTGAGAGCTGCATGTGGTTCAGTGTGGTGGTTACAGGTGTGAATCGAGGAGTAGAGAGAGGAGTGAAAGGCAGTGGCACCAGGCCTGAGACAGGGGTAGGCTGTGCCAAGGAGGACAGCTTTAGAGGGTTATAGAGAATCTGTGCCCTCCTCATTCCCCAAGCCTGAAGCCTGCCAGGCATGCTCACGTCCTGAGGCCCAACACAGCTGTCAGAGCCTACCTGATGCTCCATGGGTGAGGACCTGCCCAGGTCCTGGCTGACCTTCTCCTTACTTCCCAAGAAAGAGATTTCTTTTTTTCTGTCCTATGGCCCAGAGTGCTCTGAGGACAGGGGCGCAGAGAAATAAGTGACTTCATCGAGGTTGCTCAGTCAGGGCTAGAGGGGGGCCATAAGATCAAGGACATTGGAGGGGGTTTTATTAGTAGAAAGAGACCCTTGGGGATTACCCTGGAGAAGAGAGACAAGGTGGGAGTGTGGAGGGTGTGCCTCTCATCATCAGACACAGGGGCCTGCTGAGATTTTCCCACTGGCTAATCAAGAGTCGAGGCCAGAATAAGAGCTGAGACCAACCCAAGACTGAAGGATGGTCAGGATGATCTTCTAAGTCCTTAGCAGATGTCATTGCCCATGGTGATGAGGTGATGGGGGAGGGGAGGCTGCATGGTCATGGGAATGTGGCCATAGGTCAGGGGGACACATGATATAAGCCCATTTTCATCAACTCCAGGTGGCATCTTCTCCATTTCTTCTCATCTATATACCATTAAACCCAAAGTGGCATTACATCCTGCCCATTACCACCACCATCAATTTTACCACAATCACTATCTCTATATCCATTACCCACCTCTAACTCTATTGCCAGTACCATCATTACTCAAATCACAGATACCTTCTCCCAACCTAGGCTCCATTACCACCATCACCACCAACATCACCATCAATGCTACTAGCCCTTGATGACATAATGATTAACAAGAGAGATAGGATTCTTGCTCTCAAGGAGCCTACACATCTTCATCATGACCACAACCACCACCATCATTATCATCTACCATGTCACCACCACTGCCTTATAACCAACCACATCACTATTACCACTATCCTACCCCATACCCCTTACCCCTACCCAATCACTCCCATCACCATCAGTTTACCATCAGTATTCCCATTCGATCATGATTACACCATCCCATCACCATACTTATCACTGCAATCAATACCATCAGTTGGAATTCCACCATCATTACCACCATCATCATTGTAGGAAATAATTACATGGGTTGTAGCCATGGTTAATGGTCAGTGAAGCCCCAACTAAGATGGGGAGGTCATCTGAGGTCACTCAGTGTGGAGAGGGACAAAAGGGTAAGAAGTCCTGAAGTGTAAGAAGTCCATATTGCAAGCAGTCCCAAATAGGGAAATGTTTATCCTAGGAATTTATTCTTCCCCAAACCGTCCAACAGTTCTAGCAATAATTTCAATTAAGGAGTTGCTATTTTTTTCCAGTGCACAAGGCTCTCCTTCTCATCTAGTCTGGTGTAAATGAATGCTTCCTCCAGCTTGGCCTCTGAGCTCAGGTTTGGATTCCCAGGCTGGAGAGGAAGGAGGATAGTTAAAAATTTAATCAAAACGAGCTCTCAACTGGTGATTTAGAGCTGATCTGCCCTCTGGTTAGACCCTTGGCATTTCAAACCTTGCCTATTTCCATCATCTGCCTCCAAACATCATGGTCACTGTCACCAGCACTCCTTGATGACATTAGAGAGGAGAGATGCCATATGGGGTGGGGGCAGGGAATAAGATGAAGCCAGGAGTACAATTAATACCAAATCACTCTCTATAGAAAAGGGCTAAGATTCAGATCTGAGTTTCTTAGGAGCCAATGCATAAGAGGAGAGATAACCACTGACTATCAGCTCTTTCTCACGTTATGGTAGGAGAGAAATTCCCATTGTGGGGGAAAAAAAACCCAAAAATGACCACATGCCCAGACTTGGCCTCATTGGCAGTTTCTTTGGCTGTGAAAATTTCAGAGTGTTCCCTATGGAGCCGCTGGATGGACCACAGAGGTAAGATGTCTGCAAAACTTAGTTCTCTAAGCTGCAAAGGGCTGTGGTATTTTATTTGTTTGTTTATTCATATTTATTTATATTTACTTATTTGTATTTTATTTATTTTTAAAAATTTTTTTTAAAGATTTTATTTATTTGAGAGAGAGAGAATGAGAGACAGAGAGCATGAGAGGGAGGAGAGTCAGAGGGAGAAGCAGACTCCCTGCTGAGCAGGGAGCCCGATGTGGACTCGATCCCGGGACTCCAGGATCATGACCTGAGCCGAAGGCAGTCGCTTAACCAACTGAGCCACCCAGGTGCCCTACTTATTTATATTTTAAGTAGGTTCTACGCCCAACATGGGGCTTGAACTCCTGACCCTGAGATCAAGAGTCGAATGCTCTACCAACAGAGCCAGCCAGGTGCCCTGGTATTTTATATTTTTACATAAATGATATGATTATGTGGTATTAAATGAGGGAGGAACCAACAATGTAGAGGTCACACGTCGGTGAGAGCAAGAGGGGCAGGGGTTGTGTCCCTCTTGAGCTGGTCTCCAGGGCAGCTTGGGCAGCCACCAGGTAAACAAGAGGGAGAGGCCAGGGCTGTCCAGGGGACCGCCCCAAGGTGTGAGGTGCCGACAGGCTGGTGTGTTTGGGGAACTGGAGGGAAGTGGGGATGCTGGGGAAGGGCCAGGAGGAAACTGAGGGGGAGCCGAGCTTGGGGAGAATCGTGTGGGCCAAAGGAAGGAGCTGGGCTTTCACCCTCCAGCAGGGGGGGCTTTGCCCCAAGCCATTGCCCTGTCAGCTTTGGGTTTTAAAATGTCCACTGTGGGGGCACCTGGGTGGCTCAGCCGTTAAGCATCTGCCTTTGGCTCAGGTCATGATCCCATTGGGGGGCTCCAGGGGAAGCCTGCTTCTCCCTCTCCCACTCCCCCTGCTTGTGTTCCCTCTCTCACAGTGTCTCTCTCTCTCTCTGTCAAATAAATAAATAAATAAAATCTTAAATAAAATAAAATAAAATAAAATGTCCACTGTGGCAGGTGTGTAGAGAGTGGGCTGAGAGGGGTGACACCGGAGGCCGGGAGGTTTGTTCGCCTGGTTTTAACCCTCCCGCTAGACTGTGCGCTCACTGAGAGCAGGGGCTGTGTCGAGTCACCTGGGTACTCACAGAAGGCTTGGGTTATCTTACTATTATCACCTCCTGTTGCTGCCCTTGCTCCCATGCTATTAGCACTACCCTGACCACACACCGTGTCACTGAGTTAGTTCCCTTCTGGAGGTTTCTCAGGGAGCCCAGCAGCTTGGGCCAAAGTCCTGGGCCAGAGGCAGGGGTCCTGGTCCTCTCTCCAGCTGTGCCACTGTGTGGCCCCAGCAAGCACCCCCCACCCCCATTTCCTTAGCTGTTCAAAGTGAGGGCTAGATTAGACTAGGGGTTTTCACACTTTTGGAGGGGGGTTTACAAGTCTATTTGCTTAGAAATCTGGAGCCCTTAGAAAAAAATCTGACGTCCTCCCAGCTCTGCGAACCCAGAGTTTGGAGAAGCAGATCAGAATAAACCTGATCCTGCTGGCCTCTGCTGTGCTTTTGCTGCAGACGCCATGAATGAGAACTGAATGCGGAAGATCAAACAAACCCTGAGTCTTAGGCATTGCAAGTACCCATGGCGGGACCATGGCGAGCCCTCTCTTTCCCTACTCACCCAATCCCCCAAGGGGAAGCTCCGAAAATGGGGGGGGGGCAGTCAGGAGGGACTATGTGTATGGGAAGTGGGAGAGTGATGGGTCTGGGATCACCCGGATTGGCTGGGCTGCCCAGGCAGTTCCAGGTGTGTCTCAGGTTGGGGCGTAAGCTCCAGCTGGGGGCCTAAGGGTATATGGTGGCTTTGTGGCTCAGCAGAAAGAACTCGTCACCTGGTTAGGGCCTGGCCTTCAGTATTTATGTATGTATGTATGTATGTATGTATGTATGTATTTACTTAAGATAGAGAGCACAAGCAGGGGGAATGGCAGGCAGAGGGAGAGGGAGAAGCAAGCAGGCACCCCACTGAGCCAGGAGCCAGACCTGGGGCCCAATACCAGGGGCCTGGGATCACAACCTGAGCCAAAGGCAGTGAGCCACCCAGGTGCCAACCCCCCACCCCTTTTTAAAAAAAGATTTATTTATTTGCGATGGAGAGAGAGAGTGAGTGAGTGAGGGGAGGGGCAGAGGGAGAGAAGCAGACTCCCTGCTGAATGACCCATGAGATCATGATCTGAGTGGAAATCACCTGTTGGATGCTTAACGAACTGAGCACCCCCAGGCGCCCCCTGGCCCTCAGTCTGGAATCCTGGGGGTCCAGGCAAGCTGTGCCTTCATTAGGTAAGGCTGACTTAAATCTTCCATAGAACAAAGGGCATCCCAGGAGAGTTGTCACCATGCCCCAGAGGACTCCTCCTCTTGGGAAGTCTTGGAGCTCTGTTGATCAAGGGGCTAGGGGCTCCCTTCCCACACACCCAGCTACCCTGTCATGGCAACCTGAGGCTGGCCCACTTGGTCCCTGAGCACTGATCTGTAAGTCCCAGAGCCACAGAGTCAGTGACCTCTGAATGGATGGCGGCCCCTCCCCCAGGCTCTGGGCCCAACAGGCAGGGATCCCTGAAGACCTGGTGACCAGGGAGGGCCCAGTCCTTGCCCAGCCCCCAGGGCTGGATTCTGCCTGCAGGATCTCTGCTCTTCAGTCTAACTGCTCCCGCCTCCAGAGTCCAAGGGTCCAAGTGGCGGGTGGGCTGTGCTGCCCTGAGCCCTACAGAGGAAGGCCACACTGAGAACCGCTGGTGGGTGGGCAGCATGAGATTTGAGGAGCTGCTAGACCAGGTGGGCAGCTTTGGGCCCTTCCAATTGTGGAACGTGGCCCTGCTGGCCCTGCCCCGGGTGCTGCTGCCCATGCACTTCCTCCTGCCTGTCTTCCTGGCGGTTGTACCTGCCCACCGCTGTGCGCTACCCGGTGCCCCGGCCAACTTCAGCCACCAGGACGCATGGCTGGAGGCCCACCTGCCCCAGGAGCCTGATGGCACCCTCAGCTCCTGCCTCTATTTCACCCACTCCCAGGCCCTCCCCAACACCACGTTTTGGGGAGTGGGTCAGAGCCCTGGGCAGCTGGAGGGTGAGCCCTCCACAGCGCCCTGCCCTCAGGGCTGGGACTACGACCGCTCTGAGTTCTCCTCCACCATCGCAACTGAGGTACCTGAGTGTGAGACTGGGGGCACGTGAGTGGGATGGGCCTGCCACTGCCTTGGGTGATGACTATGTGGGCATGAGACACATTGCCTTGCTTCTTAGAGTCTCAGTTTACCTACCTGTAGCTGGGATCTATGAATTTAAAGCAGTGAGCTTCGTTCCTGGCCTGCAGTAAGGAGCCCACACCCGGGAGCTGCTATTATCAATTGGGAGGTGGTTAAGGGAGGGAAGGGCTAAGATGGCTCCAGGGAGCTGGGGGAGAGAGTTGAGAAGGGCGAGAGTGGTAGGAGGAGAATCGACACAGGCTTTCTTTCTCTTCTTCTTTTTGGCCCCAGGTCTGGGATTTATATAATCCATCTAGAGGTGAACGTAGATGGGGGCAGTCTGTCTGGAGAGGAGCAGACCTGTTGTCAAAGTGAAGGCCCTCCATGGGAAGAAGCTGAGGCTGCAGGACCGGGGAGGGGCAAAGTCTCTTACCCCTCAAGTTGGGGTGTAAATAGTTGAGGGTTTATTATCTGACGTGGAGGTACCAGGATGGGACCACTGACCTCAGAAGGCCCCGGAGTCTGGAGAGGAAGCGTCGGTGCTAACTGGAGAGGGCCTGTGCCCATGGGAGGCCCCTCCCTGTTTGTCCCTGCAGTGGGACCTTGTGTGCGAACAGAAAGGCCTGAACAAAGCCACTTCCACTTTCTTTTTTGCTGGTGTGCTGGTGGGGGCCGTGGCCTTCGGATACCTGTCTGACAGGTGGGGTGCAGTGTGTGTGTGGGGCAACAAGGGAGTGGGTGGGGAACCCTCTCCCACTAGTTGGGGTATGGGCTTGGTCTGTCTCTGTCGTGGGACCTCCCCTCTACAGGGAGCTGACCCTGCATGACCCCTGGGCAGGTTTGGGCGGCGCCGTCTGCTGCTGGTGGCCTACGTGAGTTCCCTGGGGCTAGGCCTGGCATCTGCAGCCTCAGTCAGCTACGTCATGTTTGTCATCACCCGCACCCTCACTGGCACAGCTCTGGCTGGCTTCACCATCATCGTGATGCTACTGGGTGAGGCAGGCAAAGGACGGGCAGGGCCTAGAAGACTGGAGGGAGGCAGCTGTCAAGGCTGGGACTGGACCCATCTGGTTCCTGCTTTCTTCCTGTCTCTGGTTCCTGCCCTGGGCCCAGAAATGGAATGGCTGGACGTGGGGCACCGCACTGTGGCAGGGGTCCTGAGCGGCACCTTCTGGACAGTGGGCGTGATGCTGTTGGCACTGGTTGGGTACCTGATACGGGACTGGCGATGGCTTCTGCTGGCTGTCACTCTGCCTTGTGCCCCAGGCATCCTCAGCCTCTGGTGAGGACTGTGGGCAGCTCGGGAGTAGGTGATAGAGGAAGTCAGAGACAGAATTAATCAGAGGCTGAGATTCGAATACAGAGTGACTGAGAGATGAAGAGAAAGAGAAAGTCAGCAACCGAGAAACGGAAAAAGAGAGAACGAGAGACCGACCAATACAAAGAAGATGGCACCGGACATGAGAAGCAGAGAAACACAGGACAACATGTAGAGAGACTGTGGAGAGACAGAGACAGAATCAGTGAGAGGTAGAAAGTGACAGAGACCAAGACTGAAAGGCAGATGCAGAGGGACAGAGATGGTTGAAGCAGGGACAAGAGAGGCAGGGATGGACAGACAGGGCCAGCACAGGGGTAGGGAGTCCAAGCAGGAGGGTAGGAAGCCAGGCAGGGTGGGCATTTCATCACCTCCCAAAAATGAACTGGCTTTTGATGCCCTTCGGGGATTTCTGTATGTCTGTCTCTCCTTCATCCTATGCCCTCCTGTCACCTGTGGGAGAAGTGGGTGGCTGATGCTGGGGGCCGAGGTCTTGGCAATGATAGCAATCCAGTTGAATAGAGAAGGGAATCCTCAGCTGTGGTGGACCTAGGCCTGGGCAAGGAAGTGTGGGAGGAGGTGGCTTTTAAGTTGGGCCTTAAAGGATGAGTAAAAGTTTATCAGGTGAGGAGGGTTTGGGCCATGTTGAGGGACTGCATGAGCAAGAGCCTGGAGGTTGATAGGCTGTGATATGCGCAGGAGGGAGATGTGGCTGCAGGTGCTGACTCTGCCTGAAGGGCCTCCTGCTGTCCCCCAGGTGGGTGCCTGAGTCTGCACGCTGGCTTCTGACCCAGGGCCGTGTGGAGGAGGCCCACAGGTACCTGCTCCGCTGCGCCAGGCTCAATGGGTGGCCCATAGGTGAAGACGGCCTGACCCAGGAGGTGAGGGAGAATGTGTGTGTGAGTGCAGGCAAGTGCATGTGTGGGGGGGTGCATGTGTGTATATGCACGTGAGTGTGCGAGGCCTACGTCAAGCTCCCCCTTCCTGGGGCCCACTGTATGTGCAGGGAAAGCTCCTGGCCCCTGGTGGAGAGTTCCAAACTCTTCAAAATGTCCTACCTGGCTCTGGTGGGCCACATCCTTGACTCAGGGCCCACACTACTCAGCTTGCAAGTGCATCCCCAAGAAGGAGGAGGCATAGAGACCTGGGGAGATCAATGTGCCTAGCTAAGCCATGTGCCTAAGCCAACTGACGTCACAAATTCTCCTTCTCTCCTGCCAGGCCCTGGACAAAGTGGCCACTCGGGAGCGAGTGGTTCAAAGACCCTCGTACCTAGATCTGTTCCGGACCCCACGGCTCCAACACATCTCACTATGCTGCATGGTGATGTGGTGAGGAGAGGGCCTGGCCTGGGCAAGCAGGGTGGGGATGGGTGGACCAAAAGGCAGCAGACTCCAGGATGGCGCTGAGTGTGAGAGGAAGATGGACAAGGGAACTGTAACTGTGCAGGGCAGGAGGACCTGCCTCTGGGGGCATGGAGCTCTGGAAAGTCACAAGATGGAGCAGGCATCAGAGGAAGGGCTCAAATGCAGGCTCTGCCACTTCCTTACTGTGAGACCTTGGACAGGTCACTTAACACCGAGCCTCAGAGTCCCTTCTGCAAAACAGGACGCTTTTAGTTCCTACCTCACAGGCTTGCTGTGCAGATTAGGTAAAGACGCTTTGGCCATTGGCAGGTGCTGCACACTCCCGGGGGATTATGGGGACAGGGAAGGCGGTGGGCAGTGGGCTCTGGAGGTGGGGGAGGTGATCCTTCTAAAAGGCCAAACCTCCCTAAAAAGAGAGGACAAGGAATGGAGGGTGAAAAGGAAGGCCCCTGAGTGGCATCATGACCCCCTTCAGGTTTGGAGTGAATTTCTCCTATTATGGCCTGAGCCTGGATGTGTCGGGGCTGGGGCTGAACGTGTACCAAACACAGCTGCTGTTCGGGGCTGTGGAGCTGCCCTCCAAGCTGCTGGTCTATCTGTTTGTGCACCACGCGGGACGCCGTCTCACGCAAGCAGGAGCGCTGCTGGGCACCGCCCTTGCTTTGGGGATCAGTCTGCGGGTGACCTCGGGTGAGCCCCGCCCACTCCCCAGAGGCCCCGCCTCCTGCCCAAGAATGCCCGCCTTTTTCCGGAAGCCCCTACTCAAAGTCCTGCACTAGGGGAACCTCCCATCCTGGGAGCTCTGGGTCTCCCACAAGGCCCGCTCCCTGCCTGAACCCCTTTTCTTCCAGGGATGGGGCCCTGGAGCACCGCCCTGGCGGTGACAGGGAAAGGTTTTTCTGAAGCTGCCTTCACCACTGCCTACCTGTTCACGTCGGAGTTGTACCCTACTGTGCTCAGGTGAAGGGAGCCTGGGTCCCAGGCAACCCACCTGGGGGAGGGCTTGTAGTCACATCTTTTTACCAACACCCTACACACACACACACACACACAAACAAACACACACTCTGCAGCCCAGTTCCTCCCACCCATTCCTCACACCAGACACACACACACACTCTGCAGCCCAGTTCCTCCCACCCATTCCTCACACCAGACCCAGAATGCAGAGCTAATCAGATCCATCTGTGCATGCTTAAATCTGGGAGAAGGCAGAGCATTTTATCTTTACTAAGTGACCCTGAGTGAGGTCACACTTCTCTGGGCCTCCTTTAAAACAAAAGTCACAAAAAGCGCCATTTGCCCTTCCCTTCCCATTCACCACAGCCCAGGCAGAGCTGCCCTAAGGGGTAATCTCTGGACCTAAGGCCTGGGGCCCTTTTTGTACTTTTTAAAAGATTTTATTCATTTGAGAGAGAGAGAGAACATGAGTGAGGAGAAGGGCAGAGGGGGAGGGAGAGGGAAAGGGAGAGAATCTCAAGCAGAGTCCCACGGAGCTGAGGTGGGGTTTCATCCCACAACCCCCAGAGAGTGACCTGAGCCAAGATCCAGAGTGGCCATGCTCAACCAACTTAGCCACCCGGGTGCTCCCTGGTGCCCTTTCAGCTAGCTATCGGCAGGTGGGGAGAAGATTGTAGGCAGCTGGGTATATTTAGAAAGCCTTGCTCCTCCTCTACCAACATGCCAGGGTCTGTAGGAGCTGGGACCCTCTTCCTTCCACACTACCCTTTCCCCACCCCTTTTGTGATGACTTTTCTTTTCCTTCAGCAGTACCTGATTGGTTCTGTCAGAACGGGAGTCCCATTCTCTGGTGAATGCTGGTTTGGGGGTCCCTGGCCTGGGGACAGGTGGGAAGACCACCTGAAAGAAGCCTCAGCTTTCTTAGCCATCTGGGGAGAAGGGGATGTCAGGACTTGCCAGCCCAGGATGGGAGCCCTGTGAGGCATGACCCTAAGTAGATGTGAACACCAACCCCTTCCTCCATCCTCTCTCTCAACAGACAGACAGGGATGGGGCTGACTTCACTAGTGGGCCGACTCGGGGGCTCTCTGGCCCCACTGGCGGCCTTGCTGGATGGGGTATGGCTGTCACTGCCCAAGCTCGCTTATGCGGGGATTGCTCTGCTGGCTGCCTGCACTGCCCTCCTGCTACCAGAGACGAGGCAAGCACAGCTGCCGGAGACCATCCAGGACGTGGAGAGGTGTGTGCACAGAACTGTTTGTGTCTGTGTGAGCACATACATGTGGGAATGAGTGCTCAAGTACCTGACGCCTTAGGTAGGATTCAGAGATGACGTGTCTGCATGTTCTGTGTCTGGTGCTTCCATGCAAGTGTGAGTGGGTGTATGACTTGAGGTTTGTAAAAGTATACGAGTCCGTATGTGTGTGTGTACATGGATATCGAAGACTGTCCAGGAAGAGGTGGATGTGTGCACACTCAGGTATGCCTATACATCAGGGATGTATATATAAGCATGTGTGGGAGTCACCTGTGGGAGTCACCATGTTTGTATACCAGCAGCTGGGGAGAGGTGTAGGCCAGCCCTGATGGGGCGTGCTCGGGTGTGAGGCCCAGGGGCTAAACCCCACCATTGCTCATGACTCCTTCCTCCCCAGTGCCCCATCCAGGCTTCAGAAGGAAGAGATACCCATGAAGCAGGTCCAGGACGGAGTGGTATCAGGGGCAGGCCCTCCACAGAAATTCTGCAGCAGGGGCTGGAAGACCAGAAGGGCAGGCCCTGTGGCTGGGGCTAGGGGCATCAAGCCCCCTCCCCAGGGTTGGAGTTGCCACCAGTGCCCCCTCTCTGTGCTCATGAAGCCTTGACTATTTGGCCTCCAGCAACTGGGTGACTGAATGCAGTGGGCTGCTGAATAATTCTGGTACCCTTTTCATGGCTGGGGGCGTTCCATAAATGAAGGTGCCCCATGGGTTTGGGGCAGCAGTGAGCTGTGGGATGAGCCCTGGATAGGAAGCCAGTCTGACCCTGGGATCTGATCCCAACTTTGCCATTGATTTGCCGTGAGACCTTAGGTATGTGGCTTTCCCTCTCAAGGCTTCAGTCTGTTCATCTCTAAATGGATAATGAAGCCTCTTAGCAGACCTCACCACAGGATCTGTTGTCATGCTCAAACGAGATGCGGAATAACGTGCTTCTTCTAGAGACGGTGCTAAAGAAGGGACTGCCCTATGATGACTTCTGGCACCAAAAGGCTGGTGGGCATGCTGTCCACTGTGTGGTACTGGGAGCTGCCCAGGACCAGGGTACCAGGAGAATAGAGCTCTTTGTTCCCATGGCTGGCCCTGTACCTACCAGGCACTTTGCAGGGTAATGCATCCTCCACCCCACACCTCCCATCCTCCAACCCATTGTTTAGGCCTCATGCCCAAAGAAGAGTTGAAGGCATGGGAGCCAACATTTTATTGGAGAAGTCAGAATAAACACGTTTTTTAAGTACCTTGAAGTTAAAGAATTTGCTAGGGAAAGGGACTGGGAAGGCCAGGAGGCTACCCTTTAAAATATGGTGGCCTATGTCTCCTAACCAGATAGGAACAGGAAAGGGAGGAATCGGCAAAGTCTAGACTCCCTGGTCTACCATGGAGCCTAGGCCCAGGCCACTGGAAGACCATCTTCCCCCTGTGGGACTGGAGAATTCTGTAGCTCCCACTGGATCATGGAGGGGATGGTATGAGGCCTGAGTTAGAGTGACCTCTCCTGTGAGCATCTCATTTGGATTTTATCTCCACGGGGTCATAGATGTAGCAGCCCACATCACCAATGTTCACACCTGAGGGAGAGAGCCCCATCACCAAGGGCCTTGGGGCTGGGGGGTGTTGGGCTGAGGGATGAAGGGAATTGGGAGGGACCTGGGGTGTGTGTGACCACCCCAGTTTTTGTCCATACATCCCCACAGACCCACATGCCATACTTTAGGCCCACTGTCTGGGGTGGGGCCGCCCACCTTTGGGGCCAAACAGGTAGCCGTAGCAGGGGATGTGGCAGTAGGGGACGCCGTCATGCTGGGACATAGAGAGAAAGAGAGCCATTTCAGCTTGACTCTCTTCCCAGCTCCAGCCTCCCTCCTCCCAACATAAACACCCATCCCTGCCCTGTTCACCTCAGCATGACTCCCAGCAGTCAGGGTCTTCCGGCAGCGCTGGCACCTCAGACAGGGTCGGTGCCAATTTCTGCCCAAAGACATCACCTTCTCAGCTGGTGGTGGAGAGAACTGGTAATTCCAGGGGCAGGGCAAGGAGACCTACCTGCTTTGCACCACCTCCTTACACTTTGATGTCCATCCTCTGCCCCCCTCCCCAAGCTTTCCATTGTCACTTACCAAAATAGACAGGTTCCTCACAGCCAGGGCACAGTGAAGTCTCCCCAGTGAATGTCTTCATGTGGGGAGGGCCTTTAAGGGGAAGAGGCCCTGGCTAGGGCTGAGGCGGGGGCCAGGCCTAAGCAGGGCCCATCAGCACCAACCTTCCAAAAGCCATGCTCATCCCAGAGCCCCCCACCCAGCTGGCCATGAGTCTTTCTTGGGCAGAGCTGAGTCTCCTATGACCTCCACCTCCTGCCCCATCCCTTTCTGCAGAAGGGACCACCTGCTTCCTTCTCCTAGGGGATCAGGTACCCACCAGCTCAACCCTGTCAGCAACTCAATCCTCAGGAAACCTGAGCTGATACAGGAGCGGGCCTGTATGGGTGTCAGGTGTTGGGGAGCATGGTGTCATTGACCACTCTAGGGGATGGGAGGAAGGAACAGAGGGAGGGGAGAAGTGGAAGAATATGAGGGGCTGGCCCTGTCTCAATGACTTCTTACTCCTAGGTCATTCTTTCCATGGCCTTGGCCTGGGAGAGGCCTGAATTCCAGGCCAGCTTTGCCTCTGACTTGCTGTGTGACTGCACGAGGCCACTCACTCTCTCCAAACCTTAGTTCCCAATTTACCTCTTAACTCAGCAGCTGACAAGAGAGAACCCCCAAAAAAGGGCCATGAATAAGAGAAGACTTTGCCACAAAGTTGTAGGAATGTGAAGCAGAGGACTAGGGTGGGAGATTGCCATCTGGTCTACCCTGTTCCAGCCTGGGGATGAGGAGTAGCTGGGGCCCAACTTCACTTACTTTTCTTGCCCTGGGGGAGGCCAGTCCTGGGCCTGGGGGCGCTGAAACTGCTGGGGCTGAGGGGAGTGGTGCTGGCTGGGGTGGGAGTGGGAGGGTTGTAGAGGTAGGAGCCCACACCACCAATGTTCACCCCTGCAGAGAAAACAGGGGCTGTCAGGCTTGAACCTCCAGCTCCCAGCCACAAAGAGGGTCCTGCTGTCCCCTGGCCTCTTCTAGGTTGGTACTTACCCCTGGGTCCAAAGAGAGCCCCATAGCATGGCTTGTGGCAATACGGCCTCCCATTGTGCTAGACACAAGCAGAGGAAAGAGGGCTGCTCAGGGCTAAAGAAGCGGGGAGGGGAGGGCGCGGGGGGCCCTCCTGTTGTCCTACAGGCCTTCCCTCAAGACAGACTGCCAGGTATGTCTGTCCATTGGCTTCGGCTAGTGGGGTTGGGAGGGGTGGAGGGTGAACTGGCATGTCCGAATTGCCACTGTGGTCAGAAGAAAGGGCAAGAGCAGGTCAGAAAACTGCTGCTTCCCTCCCCTCCCACCAAAAGGCATGGGGTCCACCCCCCACCAGCACAACTCAGGTGTCCCAATTCCTGGCTGGTGTGGGGCCCTCCGGGTAGGTTGTCTTGGTATTTGACTGTGGAGGTTGCCTTTAGTGAGCCTCCTGAGCAGAAACTGGGGGCTGGTGCTTAGGGGACAGTGACAGACACAGGGCTGTGCGCCCTGGCCAGGCCTCACCTCTGCATGCCCTCCTGGGGACAGGACGCTGTGGCAGCGTTCACATTTCAGGCAGAAGCGGTGCCAGTTCTTGCCCAGGGAGCTCACCTTCTCCGCTGTGGGGGACAAGGTGGAACCGGACTGTGGAGAGCCAGGCCACGCAGCGGGCGCCCCCTTTCCCCCCCCTCAGCCCCCTCCCCGCCTGCTTCCTAGAGACGATGGGGAGTGTCCGGGCGGGGGGGGGGGTGTCAGCTCCAACCCGCCCAAGTGTCCTGCGCCCCAGAGGTGGAAAGGGGGTCTGAGGCCACACCGTCGTCAGCTTCTCGAACGCCCCGGCTCACACTCGCCCCATCTCCCCCTCCTCAGCCCCGGCCTCACCAAAGAAAACGGGTTGCTGGCAACGCGGGCAGGTCCAGCTCATGGCTCCGCACAGGGCAGCCGGCGCCACACACAGTAGTAACCACCGAGGCGGGGCTCCGTTCCCGCCCCCTTCGCTGGCTCCGCCCATGGCTCCGCTGTGAGCCTCATTGGGCAGAAACCGCAGCTCCTCGGCGCCTATTGGCCGTCAGAAATTTAGAACAACTTCACCTGGGAGACACCGGCGACCTCGCAGGTCCTTCCAAAAACTAAAGCCTCCGACTGGTGGAGATGAGAGAGGGACTTGAAGCCCGATGGGAAAGGAAGAGAGCAATGAAGACGACTGGAAGGGTGGCACTAGTTTCTGGCTTGGTACAAAGGGAAAACTGTCCAGAGTACAGAGGTCATAAAAACACTGTCATTTCCTCAAAGCGAGGGGTTAGGCATTCTTTGATATGGCTTAATTCCGCCTTGACAGTCTCAGGTGGTTAAGAGCGTCGGAATCTGGAGCGCATCTCTGCCACTTACTCTCTGGCTTCAGGCAAATTACTTAACCTCCCTCTGCATCCATTTTATTTGTACAATGAGTATGATGATTAATCTCTACCTCATAGGATTGTTGTGGAAACTGAGTTAGTACGTGCAAAGTGCCCAAACAGTGATTGGCACATAGATGCTATAAAAGCGATAGCTATCATTATGATAGATCCCATAATGAACTCAAGACTCTTTGGAAGCCTCAAAATGTGGTCTGGATACAATGGTTTTCTTGTGAAATTACAATGCTTATTAAATTTACATTATAATTCAGACACCAATTATATAATCCCAATTTAGTTTTAAGGTGTTTTAATATTTGTTACAAGTAGCCCAAGAGTGCTTCAAAGGACACTTCAAGAAAACCGACAGAGAAAGGAAGAAAATATTTGCAAACAGTATCTGGTAAGGATCCAGTATCAGAATATATATAAGGGACTCTTACACCTCAATAATAAAAAGACAACCCAATTTAAAAACAGGCAAAGAATTTGAATAGACATTTTTCTAAAGAAGATATACACATGGCCAACAAGCACATGAAAAGATGCTCAACATCATTAGTCATTAGGGAAAGGAAAATCAGGATCACAATGAGATACCATTATAGACCTATTAGAATGGCTATAATAAAAAAAGATGAGTAATAAGTGTTAGGATGTGTCAAAACTGGATTCCTCATATGCTGTTGATGAGAAGGTAAAACAGTACAGCCCTTTGAAAAACATTCTGGTAATTCCTCAAAAGGTTAAAGAGAGTTACTGTATGATCCAGCAATTGCAATTCTGGGTATATACCCAAGAGAAATGAACGCTTATGTCCACACGAAAATTTGCACATGAATGTTCACAGTACTGCTATTCACAACAGCCAAAAGTCCATCAACCGAAAACAGATGAACAGTGTGGCATATCTGTGATAGAATAGGATTCAGCCATAAAAAGGAATGAAGTACTGATGCACAACCTGGATGAGCCATAAAAACATGCTAAATGAAAGAAGCCAGACACATAACACCACATGTTGTATGATTCCATTTATATGAAATGTCCAGAATAGGGAAATCCATAAAGACAGAAAAGTGGATTAGTGGTTCCTAGGGGTGTGGAGGAGGGACAATTGGGCATATCTGCTAAGGGGGTATTAGGTCTCTTTATGGGGAGATGAAAATGGTCTGGAATTAGATAGTGATGATAGTTGTAAAACCTCATGAATATACTAAAAATTAATGAATTGTATACCTTAGAAGGGTGAACTTTATGATATGTGAATAATTTCACAATAATAATAATAATGATAATGGCTGAAGAGAACTTGTTTTTTAAAAAAGGTAGCTCAGGGAATGAGGGGCAGGAAAGAGAGCTGATTACTATGTGCCAGTGGCCCAGCAGAGAAAAGAATCCCTCGATGAAGTATTAGGTGGTGAAATGAAGAGTTTTCTGGAGTATCTTTGTTTTGTCAAGTCAGCTCAGAAACAGCTCAAGGGTGTGTGTGTGTGCCGAACTTAGCCTTCAGCTGCAGTGGGCGAGCCCTGCTAGGTGAAAGGGGTCCTATTTGTGTCTCAGGAGTCTGAGACCCTCTCCGGACTCCAGTTCCCTCACTGGGTAATGGGATGGGACTGGTGTCTGAATTTGCACTCAACACTCCTGTTGCCTCACTTGTCTCCATCAGTACTTTCTCCTTTTAACACTTGTTTTATCCTCCTTGTAGACTTCTAAAGGTGGAAGCCTGCACACCATGAAACAAACTTTTCTATACTTTCTCAAAATTTTCTGTTTCTTGTTTTGGGAACTATTTCAAGATCCTTAGTTTTATAACTGTTTCTTGATGAGCTTCTTTAACAACCTTGAAAAATATTAGTCTCCACCGATATTTTACTTTTGTGTTTCTGCCTCTCATTAGTTTCTTACAGAAGGTGGCTTGAGGTTCACCGTTTTTTGTTCTCTGTGGCTCTCATGGAGAAGGTCTTACTTCAGGAGGTTGGGAGGACTTCATTGTAGTCATTCGTAGACACTGCATTTATTCTCCTTTAGAAAGGTTAGCTTTATTTGCCCACAGAACTATCCTTAGAATTTCTGGGGCATATCAAATAATCTTTCACTGAGGCTCTGTAGCTCTTTCTGTGTGGGATCACCTTGGCCACATACCTCAGCCTCCTAGAGAGGTCATCTTTACCAGTGCATCCAGCACAGGGCCCCACACAAAGAAACAAGTGTCAGAGTGTGAGCGCCATGCTGCCTTCACACAACTTGCACTGTGTCAGTGGGGCAAGTGCTATACTGCTCCCGTCTTCTGCGGCCTTCCTGTGTTGTATGGCTATGACAAACACAGTATGCCTTGTCTCTTCTAGTTCAGTGCTTAGAGAAGACTAGTTGAGGCTCCTCCTTTTCAAATATTGGCCATTCATTTGCAAGTACAGCAAATCACAGTATTCCACTCTTCTTCCTTGCCTGGCTTCTATTATTCTGTCTCTAAAAGAGGCTTTGTAAAGAATGCTAACCGGGGGGCGCCTGGGTGGCTCAGTCAGTTAAGTGGCTGCCTTCGGCTCGGGTCATGATCCCTGGCTCCTGGGATCGAGCCCCACGTCTGGCTCCCTGCTCAGTGGAGAGCCTGCTTCTCCCTCTCCCTCTGCCTGCCGCTCTGCCTACTTGTGCTTTCTCTCTCTCTGTCAAATAAATAAATAAAATCTTTTTTTTTTTAAAGATTTTAGTTATTTATTTGAGAGAAAGAATGAGAGAGAGAGAGAGCACATGAGAGGGGGGAAGGGTCAGAGGGAGAAGCAGACTCCCCGCCGAGCAGGGAGCCCGACACGGGACTCGATCCCGGGACTCCAGGATCATGACCTGAGCCGAAGGCAGTGGCTCAACCAACTGAGCCACCCAGGCGCCCCATAAATAAAATCTTAAAAAAGAAAAAAAAAGAATGTTAACAGGGAAAATGAACACTTCTTGTAGGAATGTACTTGTAGGAACGTACTGACAGTGGCTGTTTCGAATACTTGTGTGACTAAAGCCTGTAACGTGATAGTTTAACAAATACCACAAATGGTTAAGTCCAGTTGAGTGTAGGAATTACCTAATCAGCTGTCAGGGTGGAGTCTGTTTTTTTTTAAAGATTTTATTTATTCATTTGACAGAGACAGACACAGTGAGAGAGGGAACACAAGCAGGGGGAGTGGGAGAGGGAGAAGCAGGCTTCCCACAGAGCAAGGAGCCCGATGCGGGGCTCGATCCCAGGACCCTGGGATCATGACCTGAGCCAAAGGCAGACGCTTAACAGACTGAGCCACCCAGGCACCCCAAACTGTTGGTAGTTTTTGATGAACTGACCCTTTTATTGTTATGAAGCTGAAGAAACAAGCTTTTCAACTCAAGATGAGTGGTGGTGAAGATAATGGCCCCAAAAACCTGAAGGCTGTCACATGGATGAGGCATTAGGGGCACTACTGAGACCCCAGGATAGAGGTCACAGAGAAGCAGATTGGGATTCTGTCCAAGAAAAGAACCTTCTTACAGAGCCCAAACATGGGGTGGCTGCTTCAGATAGTAGTGAGCTTCCTATCTCTGGATGTTATAAATAACATTGGAGAACAAACCAACTGATCACCAGTGTTGCAGAAGGGATGCCAGCATCATACACAGACAGATATTTGAGTTTTCCTCACAATTTGGCAGTATATGATTTTGTGATTCTATTACCAAAGAAGAGTTTCAAATTTGTTAGCAAGAGAGCACTGTTAAAATAGTGACAGCTACCACCTATGGAGTACCAGTCCCAGGCACTTTACTTGTTATTTCTGATCCTACAAGAACCTGGTGAGGGGTTTAAATGCTACATTATCGGGGCGCCTGGGTGGCTCAGTCGGTTAAGTGTCTGCCTTTGGCTCAGGTCATGATCCCAGCTCAGCAGGGGAGTCTGCTTCTCCCTCTCTGTCTGCCCCTGCTTTGTGCTCTCTCTCATGCTCACTCTCTCAAATAAATAAATAATTTAAAAAAAATGCTACATCATCAATTGTAGATAAAAAGAGAGTGGCTTGGGGGCGCCTGGGTGGCTCAGTCGTTAAGCATCTGCTTTCGGCTTAGGTCACGGTCCCAGGGTCCTGGGATCGAGCCCTGCATCGGGCTCCCTGCTCAGTGGGAAGCCTGCTTCTCCCTCTCCCACTCCCCCTGCTTGTGTTCC